CAAGGACCCCTCATTTCAACCCCATTTTATAGGTAAACATATATCAAAATAATGAAATGATATTGAACTCTGTGGTCATCTAATATGACCTTATGTTTTTATGTAATTATTTACTATAATTATTACACAAAACAATATAATTTTAAGTCTATAAACATTTCTATTCAGAAGCAATTTCAGCATCAATTTTTTGCTTCTTCAGTAGCTGCCTCTCAAGTTATGCTATACATTTCCTTCTCTTCTTGAGAATTGATCTAGGCTATAATATTGGGGTGTCAAACTTGCGTTGTCATGGTATTGCCATGTGATGTATTGGGACTTTCTCCCTCTTTGCTAAACCAGGCATGGGCATGGCCAGCACATGACACATCTGGCACATGGGCCGGGAGTTTGACAGCCCTGTTCTAGAGCATAGTGGAATTATATCAGGGGTTTTCAGAAACATAGATGACCTTTTTGACATAAAAAGGGGATCATGGCAGGCCAAAGAAAAAGTGCAATAACAAAAAAAAATTAGAGACAAGATTAGATACTGTACTTTGTTTGGCTGAATAGCTGCAAACACATGCAGAAATATTTTTTTTAAAGTCTGGCTTTAAGTTTATAGGTAAATACGCTTCTATGCATCAATTCATACAGTTATATGCATCAATTCATACAGTTATATGCCAGGGGTAATACATTTCTTGGAAACAAAAAGTATAAATCAGAGAACATCTTTTAAAAAAAGGAGATAAAGTCAGCTCTTAAGAGAATCTTAATCATTAATCATTAAGAATCATTTTTGGCCAAAGTTGGCTCAGTAAACGTCATTAGGTTTACTGTTGACTTACTAAACCAAAAGTGCCAAAGTAGCAAATACAGGTAGTCTTCAGTTTACGACTACAATTGAGCCTAAAATTTCTGTTTCTAAATGAGACAGATGTTACATAATTTTTGCCCCAATCTTTCTTGCCCCAATTGTTAAAGTGAATCACTACAACCAGTTAGTAACATGGTTGTTAACTGGATCTGGCTTCCCCCTTGACTTTGCTTGTCAGAAGGTCACAACAGGTGATCATATGACTCCAGAACACTGCAACAGTCATAAATATGAATCAGTTGCCAAGTGTATGAATTTTGACCACATGACCATGGGGCTGCCAGAGCAGCCATAAGTGTGAAAAACAGTAATAAGTCACTTTTTTCAGCGCTGTTGTATCTTCAAATGATCTCTAAACAAAGTCAAGAACTATTTGTAATGCTTAGGGGCCAAATACATAAGATTAAGAATGTCTAGCAAGAAATTTGGCCTAAAATTTCTAGGTCCATTCCCAATAATAAAGATAACCCAGTTACAGTTCAACTCAGTCTACCAAGAATTGTAGGCAAAATTTACCCAGTATTTCATTGTAGCTTGTTGAAGCCAGTAATTGGGTCCAGCATAAGACTGTCCACCCAAGCTCCCCCTCCTCTTGTAGTGATAGGAGAAACATATTATGAGGTGGAAAAAAAAATCTTAGACTCCAGACTGTATAGGAGTTGCTTACAGTATTTTATCTCTAAACTTAGGAGCTGCCTCGTCACGATGCTCCGCTATCCATCCTGCAGCTTCCCCCTCATTCATCCCTCTCTGATTCGTATGTGGTAATATGCTTCTCTCAAGTCCAGCTTGGTGAAGACCTTGCCTTTAGCCAAGTGGTTCAACATATCTTTCAAGTTCTCTTTTTAGAGATTTGGGCCAGGACTCTCATCTTAGAAGGGTGAATCCAATATTTGATACACTCATTTGCAATTGGCATTCTTCCTGTGGAATGGTGGCTAATCTCTTATTAGTAGAGGCTAATTAAGATCTGCTGCAGCACATCCAAAATATTTGGGCATGTGGCACAAACTCATTTTTATCTGTCCTTGGCACTAAAATGATACACAATTATACTACCAGGTTTAATAAACCTTAATTTGCTTTCTTTCCAAGATCCTCTCCATAAAATCCAGACACAACTACCGGTATCTAGAGTGCTCATGTTGAAAATATTGATGGCATATATAACACAAAGACTCTTTTATTTGCTAACTGTGGCTTTGTTTCCACTCAATTTCATAGACACTAATGCTTATTACAGCCTAAACCACGTTCCTATGAATTCCTCTATTTTCTTGTTTATTTATTTGCTTGGAGGTAGGAGAAAATAATAAAATATAGTGTTAATTCCTATTTAACCGTTCTTTTACTTTCGCTCTCTCTCTCTCTTTCAACAATCTCAGAACATGCGCTTTCTTACTCTTCTTTAAAATATTTGTATTTGATATTTGCTAAAAGTTGAAAATCTCACATTATGGTCAGTTGTTCTTGGAAGTTATATATTTAAATATAAAAAGCATTAGCTGCTGGTAATTCTGATCCTGATACATTTGTGAGGTACTGTCATAAGGGAAAACTACTGGATAGAACTCAGGAATCTATATGCATTTTGATACTATACATTTATTACAATACTGTGGTGGGAAGTACTGTTCAGAAAGAATGCAGCAGTACTTTGACAAGGCTTGAGTATATCCAAGGTTTAGTTTCTTGAAAATTAGGTAGCCTGAGTCACAATCATTACTGATAAAATGTATTTTTGCTTTACACAATGGCATGGTTGCCATTTATTTCAAATAGGTGCAGAGTGCCACCTATTGATTATAAAGAGAAAGTTCAACCCTATCATTTTATTGTACCTTATATTTAGGTTCAACCTAAAATCTGAAAGCAACAGGACTCAAAATGTTGCATGATTAATTTGGTATCCAATATTTTTACTATTTTGTTTTAGAAAATAAATAGGAAAAAAATAGCTGGTATTTGATGTATTGAGTTAAATTGTAGAGGATTCATTCCTTTTGAAGAAATGTGACTTTTGTGCATAGATCTTAGAAAAGTATCAGAATAGCACAAGGCACACTGTCTTAGTTAACAAAGACAAATCTTAATACTAATATTAGTATGGTGCACATGGTCTAATATATTTGGTCCAAAGAGTCATATGCCCATAATTTATAATTGTGGTTCACTAAGCCAAGGTAGCCAATAAAGTTCTTCCGTACAAAATATGTTGTTTGGGGTCTAAACTAATTCTATTGAAAGAGGACACACATGAATATATTCAGAATTTAATCAAGCATGACAAATTGAAATTCATTTTAAAATAATGATTCTGTTCCTAGTTCGATCTCAATGATTATGCTCTAATCTGAAGCATACTTAACTGATTTTCCATGCAGCAAAAATACATACAATTGGGTCATAGAATTCTTGTGCAAATGATATACACATACTGTATTTTAAACAATACAATCTTTATTATAAAATATGGATCAATCCTTTGGAACAGATAAAATGTATCAGGAAGAAAATGCTTTAACGATCATAACAGGATCAGCTATAAGCCGATGAGATCCATACCGTGACTGAAGCAAAAAATTTATCTTCCTAGATCTTGTGAAAGCCTGATTGATAGAACATATTTTTCTAAATGGAAGGATAATCTATTTCATTCCTTGTACTGAAATGCAATTTAAAAACAACTACAGTCGTTAAGGATTTCTTTTAAAAATTCTAATAAACAGAATTTTGACTTCACCAGAAAAGCCAGTTTTAAGAAAGCAAAATAACAAATGCACTCTAAGGGTCTTCGAAATCCTAGGTGATCTTGGTTCATCTTGACATTTTGAAGGAGCAAAAAAGGCATTTTTGTATGTCTTGAACTTCTGTACATTTGTCAGTCGAGTTCAGATTTGAAAAAGGTTTTGTGTGGTTAATCTCCAGATGCATTTCCTTTTTCTTTCAAAATCAAGCTTCGTGCTGTGTCGAAAATACTCTGGGTCTTGGCTTCTGGGAAAATTAAACTTTGGTATCCAGGGTGACAGAGAAATGTTACTTTAAAGTGTGAAGAGCAGAGGCTTTAGAGATTATTGTGCAGAACTAGAGCAATTGTTACAATGGAAACTAAGATGGACTTTCTGGGTGTGGGGAGGTGAGCAGGAGAAGATTTGTCCTGTCTCAAACATTCATCCATATTCCTCTAGTTATATCTTCAGTATCCACCAGCTTGTTCCTATATGGCAGTGATAGCTAACAGTTTTAGCCTCGTGTGCTGAAAATGTGCACATGCATGCTATCACGCCCGTGTACGTGCCCACACCTACAATGCAATGAACCTCCCTGTGCATGCATGCAGGACCTTCTGCTGCCCCCTCGCATGCACGCAAACCCCTGTGACCCCTACACATGCACCTCTGTACTCTGACACACCTACATGCACCCCCTGCATGTGAGCATGCCTGCCACATGCACAGCAGAGACCTGAAAATCAGCTGGCCGATGGGAGGCGTGCACACATGCGCGGTGGAGCTGAGCTGGATGGTGGCTCGTGTGCCCACAGAGAGGGCTCCGCATGCCACCTGTAGCATGTGTGCCACAGGTTCACCATCACGGCTATATGAGATCATATATGACTCCTATATGGAATCTAATTGTATGATAAATATGGATACCTTCTGGTAGAAGACAGCAATCTTCATTAATTATGTTATTTGTTATAGTTTAGAATTGGATGCTCTTTTTACTATATTGTTGAACTTAGAGAATTTCTCATGAGTTCCTTAACTACGAAGAGCACTGGATAATCCTTCCACTATTTAGCAATGCCCTATGTTTTTAAATATTTGTTGTGTGGTTTATTTAGAATTGTACTCAGTCTAAATTCACTGATTTTTTGTATGGTGAATCTTACATATAAAGTTCTTACATTCTTGGCCTGGAATTTACTGATTTTGATATGCGCTTTTGTGTACTATTATAGGTATAAAATGTGTGTTTGTGTGTGTGCATATGTATGTATGTACAAATATATTCTAAGCTCAAACCAAACATGATATCTATATTTTATTATCAGAAAAGACCCCAAGTTATTACTGTAATGAAGTTTGTCGTATTTGGTTATTTGCAATAATCAGCTGATTACATTGGACTTCTCTTTTTTTTTCTGCAGATGCTGGCTATGATTTATAAATAAATAAATTGCTTCTTGATGAAATTGAAAACAACTAATTTTTCAACACGCCATATTCATATTAGCCAGTTACAGATATTACATATTTCAGAGTCTTGGACACTCTGGCAGTGAAGTTTGTAGGTAATCACCAAAACTGAACATTTTATAAACATTAGGAATCTATTCTTTTTCCTTCCATCTCTTGGTTTTCCATAGTGGCATCAGAGGATGACGCTTCTCCTCCTTCAGCTCCTTTAATTAAAGAGATGTGAACATGAGAAAGTATTAGCTCTACAAAGAAGAACAACTCAGTCAAAACATCTGGAGTTTAGAAGAACTTTTCACAATATTTGCTCACTGTAATATTAGACACCCACCAAATTCAAAGAATATGTGCAGCTGATGAAAGAAGACATAGTATGTATACATTATGTAACAGCTGAAAAGTGGTGTGCTACCTGTTATTGTGGTGATATTACAAACAAGGCAGCTTCTTGGCTTATGGAACTTCATCTGACGTTGGAAAGCTCCTTAGAAAATTACTTAGTAATGTGGAAAGTTATCACCCAGCCCTCTCCCAGAAAAATGAAATATCCTAGGGAATATTTAAAAGGCAGAATATTATATTTCCCTGGATGTGAAAAGGAAGAAACATGTTTTAAATTGAGAATAGCTCCCTGTAGCTTCCTGCCTTCACCCACTTTGTCAATGGGCCATTAAGAAGGCCAAGCTAGTCCCTTTATATAATAAAGAGTTCTCCCCTTCAGCTCCAGGGGATGGGATTAAGGCATGATAATAAAGTAGAATAAAATATGGATTAAAAATATAAGAATT